CTACTTCTATCGATGTATTGAGCACTATTTTACGGAAAATTGATTCACAGATTTCTTATATATATATATATATGTATGTAAATATTTCAAAATATGGAAATGGAAATAAAGATTATTATTATTATTATTACAGATATGGAATGCATTTAAAAAATAGGATTGAAAAGCATGCCATCAATTTAGTAATACTTAATGTTTTTACTCAACTATGACTAATATTCATAAAACATGCATATGACGACATTATAGGATGCAATATATTTCACGTAAATGGCCACGCATACCTTTGGCTCCATTGCTTAAAATATTCCAAGATCTTTATCAACAGTATTGGACAGTAATCAGGTGTGTATTCAATGCAGAATCAGCCTCCCAGAATATAAATTAGCTCATATCTTGTATTCACAATTTTGAGCTGTTATAGATTGAGCTCTGATCCTAGTCGATGACCACCCGTCAGAACGGTATAAAAACTGCCAACTTTTCTTCAAAGTTACTGATTGATGCAATAAAGTACGATCTATCGATTGCAGCTGCAGTTTTTTAAATGTTTTACTGTTTTAGAGTTCTTCCAAAGTTTTATTTTTAGTAGGGCATCCCGCCAACCTACGCCATGTTCTTGCTGTACATACAAGAGTCACGTGATGGACTAAAGATCACCCAGCCCTCCGTACCCTACCCAAAATATAAATTGCACACCGGAAGTAGTTCAACAAATTTTATCTAAAATAATACTGTATTTCGAATTTTTTATTGCCAACAATGATATAATATATTTTCCAAAAACTGTCTCACGAATAATGCTAATATCCTAACAGCTGTTTTCGGGTTAAATATATATTCGCTTGGATAAAAATCCTGCATGAAAGATAACAAACGCTTTAAAAATTGTTTGTCCAAAAATGAATAAATATCGATAAATATTGTTAAGTATGTTATAATAGACATGAAGCAAAATCTATGCACGGTCATACTCACGATAGCAATCGAGGGCACATATCCTGGTGTTACTGCGTTGTCCATTATGTATTTGGGTCCACAAGTTTAGTCGGAAAAAAACAGGACAACCGTGATGTTCAGATAAAATTTATGTATTTAAAATTTATACAGAAGTTGTGATAAACTGTAATCAGAATAAAGATGGAATATTCTAAAACTGCCGAAACATTTAGTAAAGCACGGATCCATGGAACGTAAGGCTGTAATCTGTAGGAGCTCTTAGGCAGGAGCGCTATATCAAGCACGAAACAAGCACTTTTGCCCAAATATGGTGCCTAAAATGTGCCGAGTAATCTTGACCCCCAATGTACCTATGACGTTATACTCCGTCTAAAAATAGATCTTCCTTGCAGATATATTCTTCAAAACAAAGGTTTATATTTGTTTATTATGTGAGATAATCGCCAAAAAACAGCAGAATTGCAAAATTTGTGATTTGTCAGACTGACAGAGCTCTTTCTTAAGAAGATTCGAGAGTTTTCTGGAAGGTTTTTAGCATCTTATATAAAGTGATCGCTTAAATTTGCCAAAATCATTTTAAAACGTTTCTCGGTGAAGACTTCTGATTTACATCAAACCAACTGCAAGCGATCAAGATAATGGCTCTCTCTGTCAAAGCCTATCTCCATTTACACCTAGGAGAGCAAGAAATTCGACGATTTACCATCGATGAAGGTGCTTCTTCTAACTACGACTACTTGCTGACGAAAATTCGCACGGTCTTCCCAGGCATCAGAAATAAACCCTTGCGTTTGTTTTGGAAAGGTAAAAAGTCGTCATGCATAAGCTATTACACTTGTACTCCTCTTGTTTTTTTAAACTCGTATAAAGTTTTGACATTTTTGGAAACTTTCATATCTTTGTATCTTTGTTTCATATGGATGTTTAAGAGTAGCGCTGAAATGGTTTTTGTGTTGAAAACGCGAATATTTTTCATGTTTCTTACATTTAGTTAGCGCAAATGGACTTGAATGACACTTTTTATTTTCACTCCACATCAAAAATATTTATACATTGTAATATTTCTCAGAAAGAACGATAGACTAAAACAAAATCATAATATATTTGATTCATTTTTTTCTCCAGATGACGACGAAGAGCTGGTCATTTTTTCCAGCCATGAAGAACTTGTCGAGGCCCTTGGCAGCATGAAAGGCGACGTTTTCCGAGTTTTTATCAAGGTTCTTGATGGCCAAGAAGAATCAAGTAAACAAGGTACGCTGCCAGAATTACTATTACTATGTAAAATAACACTGAATTTTTGTTGTTGTCGGTAAATGAATAAATTCAAATTTTAAAGACTAGTGACTCAGCATTTTTTAGCATGATCTTGCATATATATAAGCTTATATATGTTTCTTATATATGTTTTGATGTACAAATTGAGTGATTATTCTAAACATTTGTAACATATTGTAATAATGTTTGGCTCTTTTATCCCCAGATGGTAGCGACAGCACATCACCTGATCAAACTATCCATGAAGGTGTCATTTGTGATGGCTGTGATGTCGTCATTGTTGGAACACGATACAAATGTGTTGTTTGTCCAGACTATGACCTCTGTATGAAATGTGAAGCTAAAGGACTGCACAAAGAGCATGAAATGCTGAGGATTTGTACCCCAAGAGCATGTCCATGGTTCCCAGGTCCTTTCTCCTTCCCTCCATCACCACATGGCCCACATCATGGTCCACATCATGGCCCACACCATGGCCCACACCATGGCCCACACCATGGATTTGGTCCATGGCTGCGAGGCCGTAATGGTCGTTTTTGGGGTCCAAGATGTGGTAGGGGTCGATGTGGTGGCCCAAAAGGGCGTTGTGGTGCAACTACTGACTCCAAATGTGACAGACATTCAGAGACAGCACAAGATGGTCAAGAAGTGCCCGTTGGGCCACCCTTCCTCCACAATCTGGGAGAACAACTGGCATCATTCCTAGGACCTATGGGAGTTGAAGTCCACACATATGCTGATAATGAGCAAGGTAGGATAGAAAAAATATAATAAAATATAATATTTTGAGGTCATTCTCAATATATTTAGATTTGCTTTAAAGCATAGAACTGAAATAAGATGAAATTTTAGAATGACTGGACTCCAAACCCAAAAATAAAAAATAGTTGAAATAATATTTAAAATATACCTAATTCACATTGTTTTTATAATTACTTCTGTTTTAATAGGTTGCTGCCTGGGAAACTGTACCTGCAAAACTGATGATAAAGGAACAGAGGGCACTTCTGCCGAGTCATCACCAAAGGATAATGAAACACCTGCAACAGATCAAGACCAATGCCCCCCTTCTTGTGGCACAACGGTAGGAATTTCAATTTTAAAATGATATCTATAAATTACACCTACTTAATGCAAGAAATTGTTATATAACAGAATAATCTGAAATGTTTTACATAAAATATTGGTTTCAAAGGCCATGTTGCTGGATTTGATCAGCTAAAGAAATAATTTGAAGCTAATTATTTATCTGCAAATATCAGCCAGAATTCCATTGCTAGAAAATACTGATTTGTGCACTTCTCTCTCCTCATAGGACACCACTTCAGCTACAGGGGATTATGTTTTGGTCGACAAGGACAAACACATTGAAGACACAGGAAGCACTACTGAAGAGATGGAAGCAGCCACAGATACACCCTTGGGACCTAATGAAGCAGATCCCCTTGAAGAAGCCATCGCTAAAATGAGAGACATGGGCTTTGAAGATGACCGTGGATGGCTGTCGCAGCTTATTGTAGCCAAAGAATACGACATTGGCAAAGTGCTTGATGCTATTCAGTTTGAGGGCAAAAAGTAAAAATGCTATTGAAAAGCAAACAGCATTTAGTTTTTCCAACAGTTTTGTCGCAATATTAAAAAATGTTTAATTTTCAAATGAAATGAAACATATATTTAGCCAGCCACTGTGATACATGTGGGTGTTTTTCATGTGGGACCTCATTGTGTGTGTGTGTGTTTGATGCAGAATTTCCCAAGTGCAACACTAAATGATTTCAGTGATTTAGCCATGCCTTAAGTTGGCAAGAAAAATTCAAAAATTTAAAAAAAAAACATCTTCCAAAAATCATTATTTAATATTATTACTAAGGTTTAAGTTTAATTTACTCATTATTGTAACACTATATTTAAATTAATATTGCAAGATTGTACTGTAGTCCTCTCTTTTTGTCAGAATGAATGAACAAATAAAAATTAAATTAGCTTATGGAGCTACAGGTATTTATAATATAACTAGATTATTATGCGCACTCTGATTGGGCAAAAACCAATGAACTATTTCCCCATGGGCTGCACGCTCGCGCACGCTGATCTCAACAGACGCTCGCCTTTTTTCTCTAAATTTTCAAACCCGATGGCGTCAATAGCGCGCGCACGAGCGAGATGGGTGATATAACGCACGCTCTGATTGACTGAAATGCCTATGAACTATTTGCCCATGGGTCGCAYGGTAGATTTTTGGTCATATTATAAATCAGACGACAAAAAAGCGCTCGCCCATGGCGATATAGACGCACTTGAGAAAATATAAAGAACTCTTAACAAACTAGAGTGTCACTCGGCTTCGCCTCGTGCCACTCTTTCGCTTGTGAATCGTTCTTTATATTTTCTCTCGTGCATCTATATCGCCATGGGCGCGCGCTTTTATGTCGTCTAACTGATAAATAGTCTCATTGAAACTATTTACTGAATCCAAATGTTTCATGTCAGATTTATGTTGGAATTAAAATGCTTTATTAACATTTTTTCAGATCAACCACTGCACAATTTACACCAAAATGAAACCATTTCCACTATTTACATATATATTTATGTATTTCTCTAAAAGTAAGAAGACTTTTCTGTGCATTTTTCTGCCACACACGACCAGATAATGTTCATAACAAACTCGGGATGGTATACAAATTGTTAAGAAATTCCAAACACGTGGGATATGATATGAGATTGTTTAGCACCCAAACAGACTTGTCAATTATGGACATTACGAACTTTCTGTTTTCTCTCCTTCTTGCTCACTTGTAATCCCAGAATCACTTCCCACATTTTCCTTTGCATCTATCCCACTGTTCTCTTCCTCACTCAGTTGTTTTTGAGTAGATTCCTCTGTTTCTGCTTCATTTGTCTCCTGTACACCAGACTCTTGTGCACTATCCTGGCTTTCAGAGTCAATATGAACTTCAGCTCTTGATTGATTGTCATGACGCTGCTCTCCATCACTGAATGAGTCTGACCTTGAGCTCTTGAAGTCTAGGATCTTCTGAATGTTGCTCTTACACACATTATTCATAGTGGTTGAGAAACCACTTAGCATTAGATGGCCATTTGTAATTCCTAGTTGTATACGGGCATTTTCAATTACTACTGGGTTGCCAAGGTCTTGAGCAATCTCATAAGCTCTCTTGAACATCCTGACACCTTCTAGATATTTGCCCTGTATTAACAAGAATGTTCTGATGACTTACAGTTTGGCATAAAATATGAAAGTGGATATATTCTGAGATGTGACTGAGGGTATAAAGAGAAACGAAAGGTCCAAGGTTGGGTATATGGTAAATGATTATATGGATGAATGATAGATATGGACCACAGGAAAAGGCGCATTTCATCATATTCACATGCGAATTATTATTACTTATTATTATTATTATTATTATTGCAAGGACATACCATGGAATTATACATTTCTCCTAATGAACAGCATGCACTCTGTTGTTCAGGAAGCTGCTGGGCTCTGTCGGCCAGTTCCACAAACATTTCCAGGTACTTCATTGCACTCTCAATATCACCTTGCCTGGAATATCAAAAAAGGAAATATTTGTAGCTGGATTATGAGAGAGGTATGGCTTCTTGAACACTTATGCATCAAAAACTGAAACAACCTCCATGGCCTGATACAAGTCATGGCACTGCTCAACTAGAGATTGAACCCTGAAACAAATCAAACACTCAAAACAACCTCTGGCCTGATCCAAGTCGTGGCACTGCTCAATATTAGAGATTGAACCCTGAAACAATCTCTGGTATAAGTAAGAGCATGGCTCACTTATAGAGTAAATTGAAATTTGGCATACTGAGTTTTGTGGAGGGAGGAAAGAAAGATCTTATCCCTTATGGACCTAAATGTGTTTTGCTTACATTTCATATGCTCTTGCTAGGGCTTGACAAGCTCTTCCCATTCCAACACCATCAGACAACTGTTGACACTTTTCAAGGTATCCATTGTGATACTGGTAATAGACAACAAACATATAAGTACAAAAAAAGATGCCCATCCCATTCAAATTAATCATCATTTATGAATCAAATTTAAATTTAGCATTAAAAGTATTTGTTAAGTTAGTAAGTATAAGTTAGTCAAGAGCAGGTTTTTTATATGACTATAAAAATGCATGGTGTAGATGTTCCATGCTGTTAAATAGACAGTGCTAAGTCAAAACATAACTAGTGATCTTGCTGCCTGTGATTGGTTCCATAGATGTTGTCAATTCCATGCCTTGACATTTCACAGTCATACAAAATCTACTTCTAGGGTAGTGTAATTTACCAGTATTGCAGTCTCAGGATCTGCTACTTCTTCATAGGCTTTTCCAAGTCTGTATCCAGCAAGACCCTCTTGTTGGGCATTACCACCTGAAAGCCAACAATAGTTAGTTAGAAAATCGACTTCAAGTGCTAAATGTAATAAAGCAATGTATACTATATAATCAACTAACTTTACTTACTTTCTTTTGCCATTTCATATGCTTTAAGCAAATAGCTTATTGATGCCATCATATCTTCTTCTTTTAACTGTTGCAAAGGAAAACATCATTAAGTTTCGTATGACTGTAGGGCTAGCTGCTGTGATGTAAGCTATTGTCATTACTATGCTAACCAGAGACCAATTAGCTGATGAAGCAAAGCAACTAGGTCTATTCATTATAATGGTTGGCAAATTAACATCAAAACTTTATTTCTTTAAACACCAACTAGGACAAATCTTCCATGGTATAGCGATATCATTAAGCAGTGCATCTATGAATTCATGAATTAGAGGGGAAAAACAGAAAGTGAATAATCTTACCCCATCTGCAATTGCTGTATGCACTCTCTTTAGGTTCTCACAGGATAAAGAATGTAAATTTTCACCATCATCATTCTGCCAAAGCCTTCCTTTTGTCAGGTTATAAAATGCCTCAAAGTATTCAACAGACTTCAGTAAATCCCCTTCAAAAAAGCAGCATTTAAAGTTACAAAATAATCTAGAAAAAGAGCTATGTATAATTTCTATTAATGCATTATATCATCAAACCAATAGGCAAGAACTTGCAGGTTTTGTTCAAAGAGACCTTGGTTGTGGAGGCTCATTTCTACCAATCACAAAGTGCTGATGATAAACAATGCGCTACAAGAAGCTTTCTCTGGATTCATCCATTCATGATTATAAAATATAATATGAATCTCACATTCTGATTGGTTGGGAGTGTGTGCTTTATGAGAGCACACAGCACACACACGCCCTTTGCATTTTATAAAAGAAATAAAAAACTTGCTTGCTGTGCTGTATGGCGTTATAAAGCACTTGGGGATTGGCAGAACACTCAAGAAGTGTCCAGAAGCACTCCGCTATGCGTCATGCTTATCCTAACACTTCTCTTGTGTTCTGCCAATCCCTGCGTGCTTTATAACTCCACACAGCATGCATGTGTGTTTTCTATTTCTTCATTCACAATACTACAAAATCTGTTCAATCATCATACCATTCTTTTCTAAGGCAAGACCCATATTACAGTTAGCTTCAGACTCTTTCTTTCTACCATCGCCTCGTATCTTCAAGCTTGTGGTCAGGCAGCTTTTATAGAAATGATTTGATAACCACAGGTCACCTGATTCTTCAAAGTATTTTGCGAGAGATAGGAGACTGTGGTACACAATATCCATTTTACCTTAAAAAGATCACAAGACATAATTAAAAATGAAACATAACATTGCTCTCATTCTGCACTTGATAAAATTGATTGAAGTCAGGAAAGATTTTATAAGTAGGTTTTGGTGGAGGTACTGTACAGTATATCCATGACGTTTCATATGCACAAGTTTTTGAAACAAATTTGGCAGTCTCACAGAAACACCTTTTTGACTGACATCCACATTTAAACCTAATCTGTTGCAACAAAATGTTCTATGGGTTTTGACATATATATATATTCCAATGAGTAAGTTGATTAAATTATGGCTTGTCTTAATATTATTACCTCTTCTCTTAGAAGCCTCGGCAGTAGTCAAATGCAGTTTTAGCTGATCTAGCTTATCAGGTTCATCTTCTAATAGCGGAAGGTCAGAAAGTCCAGAATCTGGGCCAAGTTTCTCTCTTTCTTGCTTCTGTTGTTCCATGAGGTTGAATAGTTCAGAGAATGACTGATGGTATCCATCTTTTAACATATCCAGACATAGGTTATGCTCATAAGTGTTACGATACCTGTCAAGTTGATTGAATTCAGATGATAAATGCGTTCGATTAAGCTTAGACTGTGAAATAAGAAATAAGAGACGGAATGGAATAAGACATGCACTTATGAGAGATGGCAAGAACGACCGTAGGGCAAAATTGCACTTATGATTATTTCAATGTTAAAAGGTGCTATAGCAAGTCAATAAATTATTATTATTATTAAATTATTAACATTGGGAAGGTTGCCAGAGGTTCTTTGGGCGATAGGAAGACCAGGAGCACATAAGGCTGTCACACTATATCCTAGGGGGGTACTCTTCCCCGTTTAGGGTAGGGATGTGCCGCTGAGCCCTCTGAACCCTGACCCTGTTCCATAGCAAGATCGCTGAAAAATCTGTAACCTTTTCCGGTAGTGCGAAAATAGATACCCTGTTCCAGAGAGGATAAAGCGTGATTTTATAAACCCTGTCCCAGAGCGAGCACGATTTTACATACCCTGTTTCAGAGTAGAATCGCTAAAAACCATACCCTGTTTGGCGGCACGTACCCTTATAGCAAATATAGGGGAGTACCCCCCCCCCCCGGCACTATATTTGCCCAAACCACTTTGCTTTGTACTACCACTAACTTTAGCAGCATTCCAGCTTGTCTATCCTGCTTATTTGTTTTTTTCTTTCTCAACTGTAATCCTCCAAGTCGTACTCCAGACAACTTACAGGAGGACAGTTGAAGAACAAAAAAAGGCAGGATGGAAGAGCTGGAATGCTGCTAATGCTATTGGTGGTGCAGGGTAGAGCTGGTTGGGCACATAGTGTGACAGCCTTAAGTGTCTTTCGGCTTGACAAGGGGCTGGGTAATGACTAAACCCTTAACTATTGACCCAATTTTCAGACACAAGTTATCCATCAATGTTAGTTAAAAGTGTTATTTTTTTACCTGGCTGTTTCAATCTTCTCATAACTCCCAGCTTTAGTATCAGAGCTCTGTCCACCTCTAGAAAAATATGACCTGCTCCTGGTTCTTGGGCTTCCTATAGAGCCTCCCTTGGATGGCGGAGATGGTACTTGCTTTATTACTTGCTGTGTTACTTGGCCTCCAACCTTGATGGCTGGGAGAGTTGTTATTGATGTCATTATAACAACTTGTCTTTCTAACGCTGAAAAATAATGATACCTCATTATTTGCTAGCAAAGATAGTCTTTTTTGATAAAGTTCTAGATACTTTAATATAATCCAATCATTTAAGCTAATATAAATTATCATCATATGAGGTAGAAGTAGTTTTATGGGGATATTGGTTAAGCTTGAAGCACTACGAAGTGTAGCTTGGGTACAATTTTGTTTTAATTAGCGTTGAGAAAACTATTAAGAAATGATGTCAAAAAAAAGATTTTGAATTTAGCTCTCGATCTGTTAACCAGACTAAAATAGCAATGTCAACATGAAGACAACAAAAAGCAATAATCACAGCGTCAAGGAAGGAAAGAGCACAAGATAGTGTAAAATTAAGCTCGACTTTTGTCACCAAATACGATTCTTCATAAAGAAACGCAATCTGAGTGTGAAATTCGTTACCTGGGGACTTGAATACTGGTTATCTATGTTCTTTTTGTGGCAAAAGTACCGTGTAATTTTACGTTATTTCATGATTATCATTACAAGTCGCCATTTTTGTTGAGAGCGGGAAGGAATTTTGACGTCAGTGCCATGGTTACCAGAGTCAAACAAAATCAATAATCGGAATGTAGTCGGAAAATTCACGGAGAGCAATCGGAAATGGAGATAAATTACTCTGGGTTATGTCTTTATCGCCATAACTTGAAGAATTAGTCATAATTATGATTTTCAAGTAGAGCCAATGAAACACAGACAAAATGAATTTTACCAAAGAGTATCATATAGTAGTTCGTATAAAGTATAATGTGGGCTTGGGTTGTTGGCGGAGCGATCTGGCGTGATTCCTATTTCGTGAATCACGCCAGGTCGCGCCGGGTCGTTTTTCCAC